GTGTAACCTGTTGAATACCCTTTGTGTGTAACCTGTTGAATACCCTTTGTGTGACCTGTTGAACACCCTTTGTGTGACCTGTTGAACACCCTTTGTGGACCTGTTGAACACCCTTTGTGTGACCTGTTGAACACCTTTGGTGTAACCTGTTGAACACTCTTCCCGGCCTTTTTCCTCAGAGACTCTCAAAGGGGTGCCCACCAGATGAAGCACCATTGTAGTTAGTCAGTTTGCTTTGTGACTGACTTGGGCTGAGTGGGGAAGTTATCTGAGTTTTCTAATTGAGAAAGTAGAATTTGCATGCTCAGTGCCAAGACAAGTGAGAAGGAAATATTTATGGTTCATTGAGGAAATAATTATCGTTCCCCTTGCTATGAACTTTGTTTTTAAAAGAAATAATAAGGAAAATGTCTTATCCCACACCACATACACATACTTTTTCAGCTTTGAAATCACAGTAATTGATGCTCATAGGACCCTAAGTATTACTTACTCTCCCCTAGGATAAGCTAGTATAAATTATTGTTTTACTTGTGAGGAAGAACTGAATTGTATAAGCTGCCTAGTTCTTTTAAAGAAACATTACCTAGTGGGAAAAAAAATTAAACTTGAAGAAAAGGTCATTTTACTTGTAAATACTTTTTCCATGTCCTTTTAACAAATGACCCCATTTAAAACTGTGCCTTATATGGTATGAATTTATGACGGGGTTTATTAAATTTAGATCCCTAACTAACTTTACTATTGACACCCATGAAGCTATAAGCTTCACTGCTTTTGTGATGGATGATAAACCTTTGGAATGTGTCCAGGGCAGGGATACTCCAATATTTCTCTTTCCCTTCTTTTGGAGTGGAAAATATTAGAGGTCTAAGAATAATCAAAGCCTGCAGACAGTGAGGCTAGGGGGCAGGGTTAGCACTGTTTGCCATTAAGCATAGTTCGGTGATATTCAGCTTGCTTAAACATGTATAAACTGTGTTTTAAAAATAAATACAAACTAGCCCCAAACATTAAATATCCCTTAGTGTCTGTGAACTGGTTTCTAAGTGCTGTGCTTTCCCATTAGATATGTGAAGGAACGTGGTTCCTCCCTGGCAGAAACACTCTGTCTTTTTCCTTTTGTCTTTTTATTTCAACATCTATGACTGTCTGTCATTTTAACTCTGGCACCAGAGCTGTACTCCAAGAGAGGCACTTAGAACTGTGCTTGCTCCGTAGTGGAGAGAATGCCAAGAATGTTGACTATCTTTAGACCTGCTCCATTCTGAACAGATAAGATGAAAACTCAAGTACCCCACTCTCAAGGAAGAAGTCATTTGTCAGGTAACACCACCAACAATCATAGGAATTGAACAGTGTCACTAGTATCCACATCTCCCATGCCCCCTAATTCAGAGAAAGCTTTCTCTTTGGAGCCTTTCAAATTGAACAGTGTCACTAGTATCCACATCTCCCATGCCCCCTAATTCAGAGAAAGCTTTCTCTTTGGAGCCTTTCAAATTCAAGTGAATGCTATATTTTATTTGCAACTCTATTATGACTGAAACATGTTTTATTTTCATTTGGGCACACACAAAATTATAAGCCAGGCACGTGGGTCCCCCAGTGAATAGCTGTTAATGGACTACTTTAAGAAGTAATCAAGCACCACAAAATAATAGTAACACCACCACTTAACATTCATTGTGAGAAAATTGCTAATATCTGCTTCCCTTGAGTTGTGGGAGGCGGTCTTCATGGGAGGGGCTCTGGAATGAGAGGCCTGTTCTGCTATGTGGATGGAGTTTGGAGCACCAAGTTCAGGTTTCATGCAGACAAGCCCAAGATCTTTAAACAGGGTGGGGGAGTGGAATGATCTAAATTTAAACTATAGAATCAACATTTTCTGTAAAAAGCTTTCCAGTTTTGAGAGGCGTAGGTGGATCCTGTGAATTATGCGATAACGTGCGTGCTTTTCCTACATCCTGCTTGTGTCAAAACATTTCCAGTGCCTTTCATTGGGAGATTTCATTTTATTTTAAGGCCACTGAATGGAGTGTGGGGATTCCTGCTCTGCCCTGTCTCTTTTTTAAGAAAGAATTTTAGGGACTTTGTGGAATTTTTTTTTGTCAGAGAGGGTGAATGGTTAGTAACCTTATGGAACCATTTATGTCTTTCACCATGAGAAGAATTTGATCATGATGTCGGAATGACTAGCATTTAGGTCTTTAATCCTCAGAAATGTCTAACAAGGTCAACTGTTCTTATCAACAAACAAACTGGTGGGTAGTGGGGCCCAGGACTTCAACTCTTGTCTGTCTGATTCACAACACCCAGGTGTGTGACTGGTCTCTAGGTTACTAATAAAAAGTTGTTTGGTCTTGTTCTTTGAGTGGCCAAGGCAAAGGCTGCAGAATGGGGAGCTTTGACATCACAACTGCCATTTACCCCAAGTGCAGGTACCCAGACAAGGCTATTGAAGCCTGTCACGATTTCTCACTGCTCTTCATGCCCTTGGGTGGACATAGGATGTCTTGAGTGATGGTGGCAGTGTTAATAGTTGATGACTTTGTTTATGTGCTTTGTGAGCTCGTGTGTTGTCATGGATATTATTCCAGTGACTTACCCAACTATCCATGACCCTGTCGTTTCCAGAGTTGCCCCACTGTACAACGTTTGGTTTTCAGATGCTGTGCAAATCTCAACAACCTTCCTTCCCTTGTCTCCTATAGGTTGGACGTGACAAATATGAGCCCGCAGCTGTATCGGAGCCTACCGACAAAAAGGGCAAAAAGGCTAAGAAGGAGAGGGATATGGATGAACTGAAGAAAGAAGTGTCTATGGCAAGTTCCGGGAGGAAAGGGAGGGTTTTGTAGATTTCTTAAAAATTAATCGCTTCTCAAAAAAAAAGCCGGGCGTGTTAGCACATGCCTTTAATGGAGAGGCAGACACAGGTGGACCTCTCTCAGTTCAAGGCCAGCCTGATCCACATAGTTCCAGGCCAGCTGGGGCTTCAGGGAGACCCTGTCTCAAAAAGATAAAAAAAGAAAAAAATCCTTTTTAAGCCTTTGAGTGAATGTATCTGCCCCCTGCCCTTCCATCAGAGAAACTTTTTTACTTTAAGAGTAATCATAGCATTGCACAGTAATCTACTAGATATAGAGGTCAGTGATGAAAACTTGTCATTCGAAAAAAAAAAAAACTTAAATGATTAGAATAGATTCTGGCATAACCAGAGGAAGTATGGCTGAGACCATCCGTCTTTGTTTTTCTCTGGATTATGCTGGGTATTGGAGGCCTTTCAGCCTCTTTAGGTGAAGGAGACTTCCTCAACTCGACCTATCTAGAACCTGTGTGGGCAGACAAAGTCTTCCTCTGGACTTCCATGAGTTGCTGGGTTTCTCTGACTTAATGTGACAGGTGATTGTGGACCTCTGTCGCCTCACATTGGCCATCCCTGATGAAGCCCTCTCAGGAGTTAGCTATGTGGTTGATAGTCATTAGAAATGGTGGGAAATAACACCAACTGATAGGCTTAATAGGGATGGGTAATGTGGGTACCTTTATTATGTTATAGTGTTTAATTCTTTTCTGTTTTCCCATAGGACGACCATAAGCTTAGCCTTGATGAACTTCATCGTAAATACGGAACAGACTTGAGCAGAGTATGTTCTTTTTGAAGCCCGTCATACAGAACCCTAGTTTCTCTGTTACATTTTGTTCCTTCTCACAGATCTGACTTTGAGGGTGATGGGGAGCTAGGAGTGTGCCGACCAGCAGCCATCCTTGCTCTGTGATATGAACAGAGCTTGGGCTTTTATGTTCCCACTTTGCTTTCTGTGGCACTTTTTAAGAATAGACATTATTTCCCCCCATTTTATAGTGGTGAGAACCAGTGAGCTGGGAGCACCAGGACTTGAAATTGGTTCCAAAGTCAGGCTCATTCCCCCACTTTTTTTCACCTACTATCTCTCATTTTTATTAGATTTTATTAGTGTGCTCTCTGGGACCCAAGTCAGTTAACTCGGGTGCTGTGGGTTTCTTACTTGTAATTTGGGATTAATAATAGTTTACAAGTGATTGCCATGAAATTAAGTGGATTAATTAAAAGCGGTCCAATACTTGGGATGTAGATAGAGCTCAAAGGCTGGGATTTTATTGTTTTATTAACCTAACAGTGGCTAATCCAACATGGACTTGAGTCAGAGGAATGTCCCCAGTAGTCCCTTGCTTTTTCTCTTACTATTTATTCTTTCCTTACACTTAATAGTTAACACCAATGCTAAAAATAATGCAGACTTGAAGTACATATAAACAGACATATTAGACAAAAATGTGTTCTGTGTCTTTTTTTAACCTGGTTTTCTCCTCTTAATGGGTACCTTGTGTCTGTCAGCAAGCCTTGGTATAAGGCCCATCAGAACATGGAGGCTATGCAATGTCCTTTCTCAGTGAACACCACTAAACTGACAGGTTTCCTAGAGGTTAGCTGAAATCATGCATGTGGAAGAGTCTTCCCCAGCAGATCACTGTTTTTATTACTATTGTGAGAATAAAGTTCTATACTTATTAAGAGCTTGGCTTCCTACAGACAAATTTTCTTCCTCTGATGTTTATAGGAGGTTTTCCCTATCCCCTGATAGAATCAATATACAGAAAACTCAAAATGTCCAAAACTGAATCAATTAGTTAAAATGGGCATCTTTTCAGCCTAAAACTCAGAAAAAAATCAACTAGATTCAGATTTTTCACAGGTCATTTAAAGGAGTCTTAACTGGGGTCTTAGTGTGTAACAGGCTACTCAGGCAGTGGGATTACTGTTTGCCTATACCCTGTGGGAATCATCTGGTTATTTTGGGGAGCATTAGCCGGGTTTTACCTGACTTTGCAACTGGGAGACTGTTTTCTCCTTAAATTCTACTGTGGTTTTCTAGTTGTTGGGAAAGTATATTGGTTTGTAAATGCTTCTGTCATCTGTCTAATGTATACCCCTGTACTCCTCAGGGCTTAACACCTGCACGGGCTGCTGAGATCCTGGCCCGGGATGGCCCCAATGCCCTCACACCCCCTCCCACTACTCCTGAATGGGTCAAATTCTGTCGGCAGCTGTTTGGGGGGTTCTCCATGTTGCTGTGGATTGGCGCTATTCTTTGTTTCTTGGCTTATGGTATCCGAAGTGCTACAGAAGAGGAGCCTCCCAATGATGATGTGAGTTGTGTGGTCTTGGGAGTGCTGTTGCCCCCTAGGTTTGCTCAATCTTCCCAACTCATTTTTATCCTTTCTACTCTTGAGTACGTTTATAACATGTCTACCCCATGGATAGCTATGTAGACAAACTCTACTGAGGTCCTGGCCTGGTCTTGACTGGCACAGCTTTCCAACACAGGCATGTTACACCTGTCCAGAAAAGTTTTGGAGCTGCTCTTCAGAAGTTCTTTGAAAAATACCCTTGTTTTAAGTAAAGCAGGAGAAATAGATTCATCTAGAATATTTCCAAAAGTCTTACCAAGTTCCTGAACAAGGGTCTATAACCAATTCAGTCCTGCACATGGGCTGTGCGGAAGTGATTGAAGCCTTGAGTTCTGTTTCTGAAGCCATAACCAACCAAAGAGCTGGTCCCCTTTTTTTGGCTTTTTGAGACAGGGTCTCCCTGTAGCCACAGTTAGGCTGGAACTTGCTACGTAGACCAGATTGGCCTCAATCTCAAGCCTGAACATGCCTGACTTACCACTGCTCTGCTGAGAGTCAGGGGGCCTAACTTGTCTGTTCCCTTCCCAGCTGTACCTCGGTGTGGTGCTGTCTGCTGTGGTCATCATTACTGGTTGTTTCTCCTATTATCAAGAAGCTAAAAGTTCCAAGATCATGGAATCCTTCAAAAACATGGTCCCTCAGGTATCTGATGCTTTGTCCTTCTGCTTCGGGAGATTGACAGTCCCCAAAGCATAATGTGAAGCTAAGATATTCCAAGTATCAAATGATGCTATCTTAGCAAACTTGGGAAAACAAGCACAGTATGGAGGGATCGACAGCTCATAGGTAACTGTTGAGCAAGCTGTTGTATTTTGCATAAATCAAAAGCTGAATCTATCCTTGTTATATACTCAGAAAGCTAGTGTGACATTGATAACACACTTAGATATTCTGTTTGAACTTTACCCTTGCCTTTTTGGTATCCACTTAACTGTCTCCCTCCCCCACCAACCCTCACCTCCACCCCCACCCCCAAAAAGCAAGCTCTTGTGATTCGGAATGGTGAGAAAATGAGCATCAATGCAGAGGACGTTGTAGTTGGTGACCTGGTAGAGGTGAAAGGTGGAGACCGCATCCCTGCTGACCTCAGAATCATATCTGCAAATGGCTGCAAGGTAGGTTCCCCATCAAACCTCTTGCCAGCTGTGTCGGTGGGCAGAGGAACTCTGGGGCACGGTGATCCACAGTGGGGCCGGGGTACTCATCTGACGCTTCTTTCCCTTACCTACAGGTGGATAACTCCTCCCTCACTGGTGAATCAGAACCCCAGACTCGGTCCCCAGATTTCACAAATGAGAACCCCCTGGAGACGAGGAACATTGCCTTCTTTTCAACCAACTGTGTTGAAGGTAGACTACGAGTGTACTAGTGGCACTTATTTGCACAACATGATACTGCATGTGCATTAACAAAAGGAAAACAGATGCTATTTCTCTTATTTTATTGGCTCTATTTCTGACACCTTCCCTCTGCCCTATGGCTGTTTCCCGTTCCCTTCACACTCACCTGCTGCTCTTGTATGGACAGCACCAGACCTGTGTGGATATTGGAACTACTCTGCTGCCAGTGGGTAGAAATCTCTTCACCTAAGTTTTAAAACCACCTGCAAATTAACTGAAGAGCTGGTCTTTTTGTCTTTTTGAGACAGGGTCTCCCTGTAGCCCCAGCTGGCCTGGAATTTACTATGTAGACCAAGCTGGTCTCTCAGAGATCCACCTGCCTCTGCCCCCCAAGTGCTGGGATTGAAGACGCAGTCTTTTATTAAAGGACAAAAATCTACAAATGTGTATTTTGTCCCTTTTTGAAACCAAGCTGTGTAACTGTACACCTTGAATTGATCCAGTTCCCCCTCCCTGTCTCTCAAGGCACTGCGAGAGGCATCGTTGTGTATACTGGGGATCGCACTGTAATGGGAAGAATCGCTACGCTTGCTTCTGGGTTAGAAGGGGGCCAAACACCCATTGCTGAGGAAATTGAACATTTCATCCACCTCATTACTGGCGTGGCTGTGTTCCTGGGTGTGTCTTTCTTCATACTTTCTCTGATCCTCGAATACACCTGGCTCGAAGCTGTCATCTTCCTCATCGGTATCATTGTAGCCAATGTGCCAGAAGGCCTGTTGGCCACTGTCACGGTAAGAAGCTTGAGCACGAGGGTGATCACGTCAGCTTGTGTGGGGGTTACCAACTTGTTTTCTTTATGTCTATAAAGTTTTTTTTCGGGGCCGTGTTACATGGTAAGCCTTGACAGTGAGAAAACTCCAGCATATGTTTATCAGAAACTCCAAAACAAACATTATGTTATTAAATTGTCCCATGATCCAGCTCAGGGTAATGGGAAAAAAAAGAACTTAGGGGTTAGTAGGGGCAACAGACAGATAAATTGCAGCTGTTTGGGGGTGGGAAGAAGCCCCATCCATGTATGTTATCATGACTTCAGAAGAAAGTGGAAAGATTTAATTGCAGGCAGAGGTTCTAGAATTCCAGCCTGGGTGAGCAAAGTCCCCCTGTCCCTCCCTCGTAGGTTTGCCTGACACTTACTGCCAAGCGTATGGCGAGGAAAAACTGCTTAGTGAAGAACTTGGAAGCTGTGGAGACTTTGGGGTCCACATCTACCATCTGCTCGGATAAAACTGGAACTCTCACTCAGAACCGGATGACAGTGGCCCATATGTGGTTTGACAATCAAATCCACGAAGCTGATACAACAGAGAATCAGAGTGGTGAGACACGCCCCTCACTGCAGCTCCTGATCAGCTTGCTTACCTGGAAAAATGTTTTTAAAATACATTTATTTTATGCACGTTTGTGTATGTGCGGGCACAGGTGGAACTCAGAGGATAGCTTGTGGGAGGCATTTGTCGCCTACCTTGTGGATTCCAGGGATCAGTCTTCGGTTGTCAGCCTTGGCCGCAAGCGCCTTTACCCGCTAAGCCATCTATCGCAGTGGCCCCACTTAACTTTTTAAATTTATTTTTTATTTTTTAAACACATGGTAGTGTCTATTTCTTAGTTTGATGTTTGTTGTTGGGTAGTTTTTGTGTGTGTGTCTGTGTATCAGTAGAAAAATTAATTTGCCTTATGCACCTGACTGCCAACGACTACCACTTAAGGTGTTTAATTAATTAGGAAGTAACGTATCATTTCAGATTTTGTGGAGCTTTAATAGAACCAAGAATGTGGCGAGTGTTCAGAGTTAACAAGTTTGGGGGCTGGAGAGATGGCTCAGCTGTTAAGGGCGCTTGTAACTCTTGCAGAGGGCCCAGGTTCAATTCCCAGAACCCATATCAGGCTCACAGTGGCCTGTAACTTCAGTTCCAGGGGATCTAATACCTTTTTCTTGTCTCCCTGGGCACCAGCATGTACATGGGGCATGTAAATCCATACACACACACACAGAGATCTTTAAAAATTAACAGGTCATTTTCCTGTCCTGTTTCTTGCCTCTACCAGGTGTCTCCTTTGACAAGACTTCAGCCACCTGGTTTGCTCTGTCTAGAATCGCTGGTCTGTGTAACAGGGCTGTATTTCAGGCTAACCAAGAAAACCTACCCATTCTTAAGGTATGCCTCAGAAGTGCTGTTGTCTGTCCTGCTTGCTTTGTGGGGAGGAGGCCAAGGCTGTGGTCACCACATTCACAACTGCCATCATCCTTATTAAACAGCACCTTGCTGTTGGTGTGGAAAATAGCTCCATTGCAGAACGCTTGATCATCTGTGGGGATTTTTACTCTGTGTAGCAAGCAAACGTTGTATGGTCTGTAGCTCTGAAGTACTTTCAGTGACCCCTAATCCATGTTGGTTGGGGACGAAAAGTGAAGATGAAGTACAAATCTGACCCTAGATGGAAGTGAGGGGAGAGACTACCTTTTGTGTTTTGCTTTTGTTCCTCTGATGGCCCCTAACCACGCAGACAGTGAGGCTGCTTATGGCCTCTAATCATATCTGCAAAAATCCTTTAAGCCATTTGTGTTCTTAAAATAACTTAGCTATTTCTCTTATCTTACTGGTTCTTAGCTTGCTTGCTAATGATGCAAAAATAAGATGGAGGCACAAATAGTCTCAGACAGAATACTCCTGAAGTTTGAAATGACTAGGATTTTACTGTGTTGCCCAAGTGACAATGCAATCCCAGGACTCTGAGCTGCAGATAAAGTTGCCTGCCTGCCTAAACCCAGTTGCCAAATCCAGTATGGTTGGGCTGTAACCTACACTGCTTCTGTTGGGAAGACGGGGCTTGTTTATTCTTTGAAGACAGTTTGCTTGGCAATGGATTGATGTTGACTTAAGAATGATATTGTTTATCTTGGGAATAAAACTGAAGATGGCCGCTCCATGTTTTGCCTTCCCTCAAAGTGGAAATTTTCTAGGCTTTAAGCATGGAGAACCACAGGTACTGAATCTCTGCTTATTAAAAAAAATTCAGGAAGATTAGCAAGAGGTGTGTATTCGAAGTATTTGGGTAAGAGCTCTGCCAATAACATTACCTTGCAACAGTTGCCAGGCACATAGTCAACTTGTCTTAAAATACTTCCCACAAAGCTCAGCCCCTTCCTCACACATGGCTGCTGTTCTGTTCACTTGCTATTGCACATCTAGGCTTGCGTATCAGAAATCTGAAATGTTCACCTGTATAAAAGTTGTTTACACATAGAAATGCTCTTGGTAGGCTAAAATAGATTTCATGTATATAAGTAAGTGTATCACATAAATGTAGGTGTGTGTCCCTGAAGTGGGGACAGTAACGAAAATGCTGGCTGATCTCATGTGTTACTGACAGCTGCCAGCAGCTTTCGGCTCCAATTTCAGGCCCAGGTGATGTCTCACAGTTGCATATGTGGAATATAGAGCCCTTTACTTTGCTCTTGACACAGTTGGAGCCTAGTTCTGAAACTCTAAAGCCATTGTCTTTTAAAATGAGGGTATGAGTGATACTAGAAATGTTTGCTTCTTTGGTCTTTTCAGATTCATAACCAGAAATGTTCTATTGGGAATAGTGTTGACTGTGTGACTTTTCAGCAGGCCAGGGGAAGGTAAAAATAGGCTGTAGTGGGTTGGGAGGGAGGATCCTGCTTCTGTGGGTTAGGTGATACCTTCAGGCGCCCTTTCACCAGCAGCTGAAGTGGGTGGGGAAGGAGGCTGGACTTGAACTGAAGCACTGTGAACAGCATGGTGTGGGGCGAGATGCTCCTCCTGTCTTCTACCACTGACAAGACTGGAGTACATCCAGAGTTCTTTTTCCCGTTTCTCAGTGATGCCTTGTGAAACCTTTTCAGGTAATTAACTGATGATGTCTCTGTTCCCAGCGGTCGGTTGCAGGCGATGCCTCGGAGTCTGCGCTCTTAAAGTGCATTGAACTCTGCTGCGGCTCTGTGAGCGAGATGCGGGAGAAATATGCCAAGATAGTGGAGATTCCCTTCAACTCCACCAACAAGTACCAGGTCTGCAGATTGGGGGTGGGGGTGGGGGTCATACAGTGGGCAAGCTGGAGGACATGAGCTAGAAGAGGCAATATTCTCCACTTCGGAGTTTTGTAAGATTTAACTTTAAATTTAAAATTTTGCTCTCAACTACATGCAGAAAGGTCCTCCTTTCTTTGAACATCAGTAGGTAAATGGGATTGTCTCCAGAACACTGTTGGGGACCTTTTGAGTACTTGCTTGGAGTTGAGGCTGGGAGGACAAGGAAGGTGTGTGCGTGCATACAAGCATGTGCCAACCCCCTGGTCTTCCAAGTCCCTCTAGAAGGATTATCTCTTGTGTACATACGCATATAAGATTGTGTTGTTCACATATAAACTTACAAACACAGCACAGTGCTCTAAGTGTGTGACACACATTCAGAGTGTGTTACAAGGCATGAAGTACTTCAGGGTTCAGAAAGGAGATCTAGCTTGTTTTATGACAAATACTAATAAGGGGAGCCTGCTTTTCCTTCATGAACTGCCACACACAGCCACCCAATGTTTCCATCTGAATGATCTTCGCAGCTGTCCATTCACAAGAACCCAAACCCATCTGAGCCTAAACATCTGCTGGTGATGAAGGGCGCTCCAGAAAGGATCCTGGACCGTTGCAGCTCTATCCTCCTCCACGGCAAGGAGCAGCCCCTGGACGAGGAGCTGAAAGATGCCTTTCAGAATGCCTACCTGGAGCTAGGGGGCCTCGGAGAACGTGTACTAGGTACGTAGGTGGGCTGCCATGGTGCCTGGGCACAGCTCTGTATAGACTGGCTTATCCTCTGTCTTGTGGAACCCTCCTGCTTCTTAATTTGCCTTTTGTTATGTAAAGCAGTAAGTGCTGGAGAAATGAAAGATACCAGCTCTGGGAAACAGTCTTGATGGTTTGCTACCTGGACTAAACCTGTGACCTCATGCTGGTCAATTCTGTTTGTTTAACAAAAAAAGAGGAGCTTTATGTTCTAACTTTGTTGTTATGGCCATGAGCTTAACAGTCTATTAATTCTTGGTGTACCTAAGTGATAACTTAAGATGGTTGTGCATATCTGTGGGAACTGACTACTCACACTAGACCAGCAGCAAACCAGAAGCCAGTTTGCTTCCTGTCTGTTGTAGCCTAGCAGCTACTGAGGCTTAGAAGTTCATTTTACCAGTTAGCCAACATATTTGGGCAAGTAGCATTTATAATATTTTGTGGTTGACAGATATAAATCCATTATTTGATTCTTCCTCTTCTTTTCTTGGCTAATTGAAAGCCAATCACCTGGTCCCATTCTGTGGCGTACATCCTGCCTAACCCACCCACAGGTGGGACGTATATACCCAACTGAAAGACCACTGTCCTCTCTGAAGTCACTTCCCCATCTCTGCAACCCCCAGTTCGGAGCTGCTGTTCTTGGGTCTACACTGCGTCTCTTGGCCTTCTCTACAGACCACTGTGACCTTCACACAGTACTAAAGAGAAAGTCTGGAATATCTTGAGTTTTATAATGATAATACCAGATGAACTTGCAGCAAAATGCCCTTTCTACATTTATGATTAGCTAGTATGATCCTATCCACACTGGTGCTTAGTGATATATGAACAAACAGAGAGATGTGGCTACAGTTTTCCAGAGAAGGGTAGCTAGACAGTCACTGGGCAGGTCTAGAATCCTGATGCCATGGTGTTAAAAATCTTCCCCACATTTCTTGATGATTCTGACTGATAAACTCTGACCTTGAGCAACTTTTGTGTATTTGCTTGTTTTCTTATACCACCTCTGTATTATTCCTAAAGGTTAAATACAGCCAAACTGTTAACAAAACTAGACCATTCCACATTAAACATCAGGCCAGGTAGTGGTGATGGTAGACCAGCTGCCATTGTCCCTCACTGCCTACAGTGCTGGAAATCCTAACTGGCTCCCTGCCGTCCTTGCAGGCTTCTGCCACCTCCTTCTGCCAGATGAACAGTTTCCTGAAGGGTTCCAGTTTGACACTGATGAAGTGAATTTCCCTGTGGATAACCTCTGCTTTGTGGGGCTCATCTCTATGATTGACCCTCCTCGCGCCGCTGTCCCTGATGCCGTGGGCAAATGTCGCAGTGCAGGAATTAAGGTAGGACTCGCGAATCTCGCTGGCCTGTCTCTGGGCTGTGTGTTCAGCCTATGAAAGCTGCCCTATATCCAGACAGCCAGCACCTTTTCTTTCCTGCATGTACTTACCAATTTCTCATTTCCAAAGATCAAACAATATTAAAATGTTGGTATAAGAACAGGTGAGAGTGGAAATAGCTTGCTTTTTAATAAAAGAAATAGAAGTGAAAGATCAGAAGCTGTGAGGTTTACATTCAGAGATGGATGGCGGGACACCTGTGTTTTCATCAGCTGGTCTCCGTGTGTTCTTTTCTGAGTCTCTCAGTATTATGGTGTGCTAACCCTCTTGCTGGAGTGTTTATTACCTTTTTTTCATTCTTCTCTGTAATACTGCACTGAAAAGCTGAGTAGAAAGCCAGTATTTTGATCATTTCTTTTAAAGTGCTCTTTTTTAAGCATTTAAAAAAGTAGCCATAATTTTAAGTCTTTGCAATTCCCTCAAAATCAGCCCATTGTGAGAATACAGACCAGAAATAGCTATACATTTACGGTCCCACCAGCATTAGATTTTTATACCCCCCTCCCCCAGCTCTTGGCAAATAATGAATTTTTAATGTGTCTGTAAAAAAAAATAACTGTGTGTACAATGTTATGTGATCATGTACCAAGATAAAATCTTGGTATTGGGTTGTGTTTTTTCTCTGTAAATACCTGCTTTTATTTTTGGCGAGTTGACAGATCACCTTTATATTTGCTTTCTTTTTCTTTGGCATTCCAAGCTGAATTTTCCTTAATATTAGTTTTTGCCTACTTAATAAGACTATGAGAACATTGGCTTAGAAACTGGATTTAATCTAATTTCCTGTTGCAGGTTATCATGGTCACAGGAGACCATCCAATCACAGCCAAAGCCATTGCCAAGGGTGTGGGCATCATCTCAGAAGGCAACGAGACTGTGGAAGACATTGCTGCTCGCCTCAACATCCCAGTGAACCAGGTGAACCCTAGGTAAGGCAGGAAGCGTAACACCGTCTTTTCTTGGTTCTGTAACGGTTTGTTTCTCTGCTTGCTCTGAGTAGGAAAGACACCTGCACTGCCACAAAGAGACCTTGATCAAAGGAAGGATTTTAATAATCTAGATGGTGCTCGCTGTTCTAAGTGCTTGTTGTAGTGACATAGTGTGATTCCTATTTGCAGAACTGGGAAGCTGAGGCTCAGAAGTTCAGATAATACATAACTCAGTCTGAATTCATTTCTGATTCAGGCCTGTCAACCATCAAACTGTTAGTGTTTAGTCCATTTCCAGGTTCACACCAAGAAAATAAATGAAGAAAGAACAGTTTTCCCAGATAATTCAGGCTGTAAAGGGGGAAATGGCAGTAAAGTAAAATTATGGTGAGGACCAGCGAGATGGCTCAAGGCGAAGGTGCTTACCATGAAAGCCTGATGACCTGAGTTCGAGCCTCAGAGCCCACATAAGGTAGAAGGGGAGAACTGACTCCACAAAGTTGTCTTCTACCTCCACACACCTGTCTTGGCATGCACACACACATTCTTTTCTCTCTCTCTCTCTCTCTCTCTCTCTCTCTCTCTCTCTCTCTCGCTCTCTCTATCACACACACACACACACACACAAACACACACATTTTTAAAAAATAGTGAAAACAGGTTAGCTTTGTTTTCATTGTATTACATTGTAGGGCTTTCTCACCCTACTTTGGGGTTTGGAAAAAGTTTCCATCAGCTTTGCTATTTAAAAGAACTTGACCATTTGAGCACATTATTCAAGTCTGTCTGATAAAAATGGGAAAAGAGGGCGTGAGCCTTGAATCGAGACGATCTCTGTGATAGTGCTCTATAGTTTATAAAGTCCCAAACAGGGACCAGCTCTTACTATGTGATAAGAATGACGTGTGATGGGCAGGCAGTGTGCTGGTGAAGTGACCTTTGTCACTTGCTTGGCCCTAATTCTAGAGACGCCAAGGCCTGCGTAGTACACGGCAGTGACCTGAAGGACATGACCTCTGAGGAGCTGGATGACATTTTGCGGTACCACACGGAGATCGTGTTCGCCAGAACCTCTCCTCAGCAGAAGCTGATCATTGTGGAGGGCTGTCAGAGACAGGTCAGTGAGCTGAGGGGCCAGGAAGCGTCAGGCTCCAGGGGCCAGGGAAAGTGGAGCAGAGGTGGAGGGCATAGGCTTCATGTGTCTGTGCAGTAGGGAGTTCAGGCATAGGAAGGGTGACTCAGCCTTCAGTAGTAATAGAAGCCTATGACAGGGCCGAGAGCTGAGGCTTAGTGGAATTCTCTGAAACAGCAGAATAGAGTCCTAGTGTCTTCAGTAGAGGTGGGGGAGGCCAGTGGGTCCTCACTTTTAACGAGAGCTGTACCTACAGCTATGGGCTTCCCAGAGTGCCATTCACCAAGGTCATTTCTTCAGATAGCCCTGGTAATATGGCAAAAACATGTTGTCACTTTTTACAAAGTGACTTTGTGAATACTGGGCCAAGAATTGGTTGTGAGATTCTGTGCAGCCTCAGTGGGAGAGGAGGCGCCTGTAATGCTGCCAAGTGGAGGCATGCATTTCCATCCCTGTGAGAGACAGGCTTTATTAACCCATCTCCTCTTTCTCTGGGCAGGGTGCTATTGTGGCTGTAACTGGCGACGGTGTCAATGACTCTCCAGCTTTGAAGAAAGCAGACATCGGGGTTGCTATGGGGATTGTGGGCTCAGATGTGTCCAAGCAAGCTGCTGACATGATTCTTCTGGATGACAACTTTGCTTCAATTGTGACTGGAGTAGAGGAAGGTGAGAGCCTTTTTAAAGGTGCACCAGAAATTTGTCCTAACACTACAGTTAACAAGGGTTTCTGCACTTGTGTTCAGTTTCTGGTGTATTTCTTAAAGCTTTTTTGCTTTTCTAGGTCGTCTGATCTTTGATAACTTGAAGAAATCTATTGCTTACACCCTAACCAGTAACATTCCAGAAATCACCCCCTTCCTCATATTTATTATTGCAAACATTCCACTGCCGCTCGGGACCGTCACTATCCTCTGCATTGACTTGGGCACTGACATGGTACGTGAGTGTTGGGGCCACACAGGTAGTGGCACCACGTCCATATTGCTGTTCCCAGCACTCCTTATTTATTCCTGGGATCTTTGAGTCCAGTGTGTGAAAAGAAAGTCTCAGGAGAATGTCCAGAATGTATTCCATCCTCAGCTTCTGGCTCCACCCATATCCCTCAGAGCAGTCGGCCATACTTGCTCAGCAGATATAATTTTCCCTTTAAAAACAGTAATGGGATCACTAATGTGATTCAATGGGATTGAAAAGAAATGCGTTTTTAAAAGAGAGGACAAGGGGCTGGAGAGATGGCAGTTAAGAGCACTTGCCTGACCTCTACCCACATGTGGACACACATACTCACATGCAGCTACACTCAATATACACACATGTATAAATAAAAGGTGGGGGTCAAGAATTTTGTGGTAAAAGGCTCATAATACCAGCTTCTGTCCCACCCATTTCAAGGTTCCCGCCATCTCCCTGGCCTATGAGCAGGCTGAGAGTGACATCATGAAGAGACAGCCCAGAAATCCCAAAACTGACAAACTTGTGAACGAGCGGCTGATCAGCATGGCCTATGGACAGATTGGTGAGCCTGGGCCCTGTGTGGATGGGGTAGGCACTGGGAAGGATGTCGTCTGCCCAGGATGAGCTGTAACATAGGTTCTAGACTGGAGTTTGAAGCTCAGTCATAGATGGCTTGCCTAGAATGAGTGAGGTCATGGTTCAGTCTGTAGTTCCAGTGAAGGGAGAATGGGGACCAGACTGTGGTTTTAAATTCTCTTCCTTAGAAGAACTCTTTGGCTGCCTGCCTGGAGAGAGAGAGAGAGAGAGAGAGAGAGAGAGAGAGAGAGAGAGA